ATGCTCGTGAGCCCCTTGGCCAGGCGCCGCGAGGGCCAAGGGAGCAGACTGCAAGGTGCCTTTCTGGATGGCGGCAAATTCCCTCCGAGCAGCAGCCTGCTTCGCGGCGCAGCACGGCACGGCATGGTGGCACTTTGTCAGAAACAATCTCCGGGCCGGGCCGGGCCGGGCCGGCTGCTGGCAGGCTGCTGGCTGGCTGCTGAGTCTCCTCCTGCTCCACGCGGGGCAAGGCTTGTCCAAATATTTGGCTTGATCCTGCTTTCTGATTCATCCTGTGCAGGAACCTCTGTAATTTCATCTGCTGCGTGACTCAGGCGAGAGCCGAGCACAAGCCCGGCTGCACCCGAGGCCAGGCCTGCAGCCAGCGCCCCTGCTCCCTGGGCCGGCCTCCTGGGCTCGCTGAGAGACGCAGGCGCTCTCCCCAGCCACCGGCCTCCGATTAAATCTCTTTTGTCTGCGATGATTAATGGAGCCCCAAACACGCCTGAGCACAAGGGTGTGAGGTGCACTTTGTACCTTTTCCAAGTTGGGTGTTTTTTTTTTGTTTTTTTTGTTTTTTTTTGGTAATGCTAAATCCATTTGCATCTCATAAATTATATTGGCTCCCAAATGAAAGGTTCCTGACAGCAGCGGGCAGGGTGTGGGTTCCACGAAGACGTTTTCCCCTGCCGTCCCCTCTCTCGCTCTGAGACCCTGAGAGGGAGCCTGCTTGTCTTCCAGAGGAGGAGGTGGGGAGGCGGGAGATTGACCTAGATTCCACACGGGCAAGACAGGTAGAGCCGGCTGGCCTGTCTTCAAAAGGCTGCCCGGGCCCAGGGTTCCAGGGTTCTGGAAGGAGCCGGCCAGAGGAGGCTGCTGCCCCCTGGTCTTGCTTGGACCCACCCTCTTATGGGGGACACGGTCATTTTCTCCTTTGGCAGGTTCGTCTGCTTAAGAAAGGCCACGAGTTGGGCTGGTGGGACCCTTTGAGCCCCACGCCCACCCCCAGCTGGTGCACCTGGGTGATGCCACCTGGGTGGGGACATGGGGGAGGGTGTGACGGACAGCAGAACCAGGTTGTCCCCTGTGCAAGTGTGTGGGGCAAGGGGAGGGGGCCTCTGAGGAGCAGGGAAGAGTGGGGACAGCAGCTCAGTCAGCAGGGTCTCCAGGAGTCGAAGACGAAGGATTTTAAAGCCTCTTTCCGCCACTTTCCAGCTGTGCGGCCTTGGGCAAGTTACTTGCCCTCTCTGAGCCTCTCTCTCCTCATCCACTCTTTCATGCAAAGCCTGTTTTCTGAGTGCCCCTTCTTTGTCAGGCCTGGCCTGCCGCCCCCCTTGGCATTGACATTCAAGACGCTACACCAGTGTACACAAGCACAGGTGTAGGTGACACGGAAGACGGAGTGGGACAGAGAGCCATGAGGAGCTCAGCAAACCCTCGGGCTCTGCTATGCAGGCTGGCGGGGACCGGGGAGGTGAGAGGGCTCAGCCAGGGGACTGAGACGGTGCAGAAGGTGTGGCAGGAGGACTACAGAGGGCCACCCTGACGCAGGAGTGCGTCCAGGCAACACCCGGCGGCGGCGGGTGCTCAGGAAATGTCACTGCTGTGGTCGCTGATATTTAGCCCCTGCTTGGTGGGCAATGGGAGGTTGAAGGGAAGAATGAAGAAAAGCCAGGAGGAAGGTGGCTTCAGAGCCAGGGTGAAGGGCGCACGGGCACGCTGAGGCGGGCGCCCCGTCATTTCCCGCCACGCCACGTCCCCTCCGTTGCGGCCCCCGAGGGACAGGCGGCGGCACTCGCCCGAAAGGTCAGCCTGCTAGGGTTTCATGAGCGGGCATTCCAGGCCTGGGGCCCGCACAGGGCGCACCCGGCCCGTGGTCAGGCCTCCAAGTTCCCGTGGAGGGCCAGCTGCTGGCGCTTTGGCCCATCCCGGTTGGCCTCAGCTGCCGCCAGGCAGGGGCGGGGTGGGCGAGGCAGGAGAGAGGCCGGCCTCGGGGCAGCTGTCCTCGCCAGGGAACCTAAGCCACCCTCAGGGGCCCCGCAGGGAGCACAAGGAGTGTGTGTGTGTGTGTGTGTGTGTGTGTCTCAGTGTAAATGTGTGCATACCTAAATGCCTTCATGGGATTGATTCGACGTATGTGCTTTTTTATTTTACTGCCTTTCATTTCCCGAGATCCTGGTCTGGGGCTGTCGCCCGTCCCCGTTTTAGGAGTGAGGAGAAACGAGACTCGGGGAGGCGCGGGAAGCAGGGGACAGAAAAGTTCGGACTGTGCTGTGTACCTGCCGGGGGGAAGGGTGGACGGCCGGCGAGCAGGAAGGCGCGGCCACTGCCCCGCTGAGCCCCTCTCCCAGCTGCAGCTTTCCTATGGTGCCCCTGAGAGAACCCAAAGGGCGTTCCCGTGTGTCCTGTTTTCAAGGCTGAGAGTCCACAGAAGGAGAGGCAGGTTATGCCAGCACCCCCCCTCACACCCCCCCGCTGGCCTCACCGCCCACGTCCGCGGACCCAGCACTGCGGCCGGCCCACCCGCCGCGCCCTGGGCTCCCGCAGGAACTCTGCGGGCGCGGGGCGGGCTCCGTCGGAAGCCCCACACTCAGCACTTTCCACAGCCTCCCGCTTCCTCTTTCGTTTCGGGACACCGTTTGGGTCCACATTGGCCTCTCCCGAGGACACGGCGTGCTCATCTGGGGTCCCCGGGGTGCCAGGCGCGGTGAGCTGCCGCTGTGTGCGGGCGTTGGGATCGGGGTGGCGGGAGGCCCCCCTCGTTTCCCACCTTTACTTCCGTGAGGGAGGCAACATGCGTGGCCAGCCAGGCCAGGGCACGGCCTGGACGACCTGTCCGCAGCGGGGAGACGCAGCTGAGAAACGCCCAGGCCCTCTGTGGCCGCGGTGCGGGCGGCCACGCGATGACAGGGCAGAAAACCCCGCCTCGGCCTCAGCTGCCGTGGCCGGCCGGCCAGCGCCAGAGCATCCCTCCAGCCTTGCGGGGCCGGAGGGGGCGGGGGAACGCACCTCCAAAGGCGGCCACAGAGTGGAGCGGGAGCGGGGGCTGCTTTACAGAAACAAATGAAAGTCGTCCTTCTATCTCGGGGAAGTTGAAAGACGCCGAGAGAATGAAATCTTAGATTCCAGTTTCCTGAGAGAGAGGCTAGGGCTGGGCACGCGGGGCACCGGTCTCTGTCTTTGTTCCCCTCCCTTTGTCTCGGGTGAGTGTCCCTGGTCACGCGGAACCTGCGGTGTTATTGTCCCCCCGTTCGGGAGCGGGCCGGGATGAGATCAGGGAGCGGAATGTCACAGCGACGCCGGTCTAGCGCCGCGGAAGTCTAGCATCCAGACAAAGCGGGAGCAGGCGCTTAACACACGCCTTGGGAGGCTTGTGACCGGCGTGGGCTTCCGCGGCAAGGCCAAGGCTTTCGGGGAGGTGACGCGCACGGAACGCAGGGTGGTCCTGGGGCCCGGGGCCATGGAACGGCCTTGAGCTGCAGCCCTGACTCCTGGCAGCTGCCGGGGGGTGCCTGTCCCATGGCCGCCCTCTGGGACCTGCCAGCAGTGAACGTGACCCCTTGCTCGCTCATCTGGAAACAAGGACAGACCCTTGCCCCTCCCACTTTGTCCCCGCACCCCCCTCCATTTTGCCACCACGAGTAGTAACCCCAGGACCTTCCTCAGCACACAACAGAAGTCCTGCAGTGCTGGAGACTCGGGGTTCTCAGGAGGGCACCCCACCCCATGAAGCCAGGGGAAGGCTGGTTGGCCTGTCCCTACCTGTGCTGAGCACACAGTCCTAGCAGTGGCGGGGCCTGGGGGGTGGGGTGGCACGGGTCAGTGTCACAGTGGAGGGCTTGGCAGTGTCAGCGCCAGAGCCGATGGGACCTTGAGTTGGGGGGAAAGATCCGAGGAAGGATTGTGGAATCCTGGGCAAAGGATAAGACAGAATGCTTGAAATACTTGAAGCAAGTCGTGGGGGGAAGGAGTGTCAGGACAAGCCAGCCACCTGCAATCCTTGCTCTGTGTTGTTTTTTTTTGGGGGGGGGGGGTGCAGTAGCGGGGGGTGCAGCCGTGATGAAAACCTTCAAGTGAAGTCGAGGTCAGCGTGCAGCCCCGAGTCATTCACCACACACAGATTAGCAGGTCAACCCAGAACGGCCTCGACAGACCCATCACACCCAGAGGCCGTTGTGTGTGTCCTTGGGGGTGACATTGAGAGGCTGAGTTATCGCAGGAAGAGAGGGACACCTGCTTACTTCTGAGAGGGCTCCGTTATGGGGGCCGACGTCCTTGGGGGTTAACTCCTTCGGTCCGCCTCCTAGGGTCCAAATGAGCATTCCAACCTTGACCGGGTGTGAGCGGACGGGCCCCCTCTCTCCCGGGCCCCCTGGGACCCTCGGGGAGGATCCTTGAGGAGTAAACGTCTAGAGTTTCAAACGGATCCATCCTCCTCGCCCGGGACCGTCAGGGCCCTGCTGGTCGAGAGCGACAGGAACCCACCCCAGACACACCCACAAAGTGTCCTGGGAGGGGGCTGGGCACTGACTATCGGGGCACCCACAAGACACCCACAAAGGGGCCCCACTCCGAGGCCTGTTCACTCTGCCTCCAACATATTCTCTCAGATACATTTTAAATATATTCCTCGAACCTGTCTCGCCTCTCTGGCTCCCTGACCTCGGCCTTAGGATGCAGTGTCAGCTGCTACAGCGGTGGTCCTCCCAGTGTCCTCCCCATCTTCCCCTACTCCCCCCCACCCCGGCCCGGGACTCACTCCCAGACACGCACACACGGACCTGGTGCCGCCCACGTGCACAAAGCTCCGATGGCTCCTTCAGGACAAGGGGATATTCACACGGCACCCCAAGCTTGCTGCCTGGCTCCGAGCCCCCATTCTGGTTTCAACCTCAGGCTACATCTGCGTCCACACCATGGGCCATGCTGATGCTCTCACCGGGGAGACCACCTGCTCTCGCTCTACCCAGCCCCCCCTTAGCGTCCTTTCTCAGGGCCCTAGTCAAGCACGTGCTCCTCTCCGAGGCCCCGCAGGCCTCCGACAGCCGTGACCTGCAGGGTCTCGTCACCCTGGTGATTGGACCGCTCGGAGGGTAGGGTCCCGGAGGGCAGGGACTTGGGCTGCCCCGGTGCCCCCCGCAGAACCTGGCACCCTGACTGGGTGTCTCCCGAAATGCTGCTTTGCCAGCGCCTCCCGCCCCTCCGCTGGCTTCCCAGTGGCAGGGAAAATCCCGGGCGACCTCATTTCCTGTTCCCCAGCTCCGCTCAGATCCTCTTTGTCCCGGGCCCTTCCTCTCCGGAGAGCTCCTTATCTGAGGACGCTCCAGCGCGCAGCGGCAGGCCTGGCGGGGCCATCCTGCCGGCTTCCGGCCTCGCAGCTCTGGATTGGAGTCAGAAGCGCTGAGCTCGGAGCCAAGCTTTGAATCCCTTCCCAGCTCGGTGACCTTGGCCGCGGCTTCCACCTCTGCTCAGCCTCGCTTTCTTAATCTGTCAAATGAAGTGTTTTCTTGTTTAGTGCGAGTCTGCTGAAAGGAGAACTGGGTCTTTCAACCAGTCTGTCCTCGCAAGGGAGACTCTGGATCCTATGGAAACCTGCTTTAGACAACTCTTTCTGAGACGAATCCCGCAGCACAAGGTGGCGGGGGGAGGTGGGGTGTGGGCAGGGGTACTGCCCTGCTCCTGGCAGGGAGAGGGAGACGCCCAAGTTCACCCCTGGGCCCCTGTTAACATCCTAGGGGAGAGGCCCCACGTCACTGCTGGTCCAGGGTAGGCACTGCGGCACCCCACTCGGCCTGAACTGGCACTAGCACTCCTATGGGAGGGGGAGGACGCCCCATCACTGCCACGTAGGGGTGGAGGTCTCCGTGCTCCCCGTATTCTTCACTGACAACGCAGGGGCGGGGAGCCTAATGGCTTTCCTTTTTGCAAATGGCTGCATTGGTCTTCTGTGCTTAAGTTTCTGCAGTCTTGGAGGTGGAACCACAGTGCTTTTCAAACTGGTGATTCCACGGGGTGCTCAGACGTCAAGGGGGAGCGCAGGGAGCTGCAGGAGGTGCCGGACAGGTGGGCCCATCCACATGTGACTGGAGGTCCTTCCCTCGCCTGTGTGATTGCTCAGCTTCGGGGCAGGATTTCACTGGAAGAAGCGGCACCAATGGCTAAAGAGAGAGAGAGAGAACACACGAGTTTGACAACCACAGTGAAAACATCTGCTTCCCTCCATTTGTGAAATCCCGTGCTGGGGAGGACCTTAGAGCGCCCCAGCCATGTTTTCTGGGCTGCCAGGGGCGGGCGGGGGGATAGGCATGAACTTGGAGTATAACTGGCTATGCGAGCCTCTGAAAATAAAGGATTTGTCATAGGTTGGTCTCAAAATGCAAAACCATTTTGGTGCATTTGAAACGTCATTGGATTCGTAACAAAGCTAATTAGCATAGAATTGTTTAGACAAACGTCGGTTATGTGAGGTGAGGGGTCTCCGCACCCGCATTCCCAGGCTCACCGTTTGGAGGAGAGTGCCTCTTTGCATGGGCCCCCAGAGAGCACCTCGGGATTTCACGGGAGGGCCAGGTCAGGAAGCTCCCAGGGGCAGGTTAGACACAAAAAATGTTCAGCGCTGGGAAACAGAGGTGCCTTGCTAGCACCTCAACTTGCTAGCAAGTTTTCCTCAGCCTCTCTCCTCCTGACCTCCCGCCCGCCCCCTGTCCCTGCCCTCCATGTGGGTCTCACTTCCAGAGGCAGCTGTCTCCTGTTCGGCTCCTGACACCTTCAGAAGCTCTGCTAATAAATGCGCACCAGAAAAGCGTTCTGCCCATGGGGACCAGCTCCTTTGTTCACCCCCCGTGGCTTTGCAGCATGAAATTAAAGGCAGCGGCAAGGAATTGCAGCTGGCGGCGGCTTCCAAGGCTCAGCTGCTGCCGGGGAACCTGGGCTGTGTGCCTCCTCCCCTCTGTCACCCCCGGCCCCCGCCTCCCATTCTGGGACGAAGCAATATATGGGACCTGCCTCTTTCACAGAAATGAGCCCACTGGCACCGCTGTGTTTCCACTGGGGTGGTTAGCTTGGGCCCAGCGAGGTGCCCTCCAGCAGCCTCCCCAGCCCAGGCCGCTGTGGGGTCCGGTCTTTTTAGACCACAGTCAGCCGGAAGGGGGTCCTCCCAGCCAGAGCCATCGTCCTCAGGGGGCTTCCCCAGGAGCTGCCCCAAGTGCGGAGCTGGGAAGGGGCCGCTGCCAGCCCTCTGTCCCAGCTCAGGACTGAGAGTGCTCCTGTGACCTCCCCCCTCCCCACCCCCGTGACCATAGCTCCTTCCTTCTCTCTGCCTTGCGGGAGAAGGTAGAAGAGAGGGCGGGCTTCTCATGCTGCCCACACGGCCCTCCTGGCCAGAGTCGCCCGAGATATTTCACTGTCACGCGGTCACACCCAGGTGCGCAGAGGAAAAGGTAAGCAGATTTGCTGAAGCTTTGGATACAAGCAGCGGAAGAAGAGAGAAGTCAAGGATGTCAGCGTGGTTTTGGGCCTGAGCTACGGAAGGATGGAAGGGCCGAGGTATTAGGAGGAGTCAGTCGCTTTTGTGGGGGGGTGGAAATCAGGAACGGTGGTTTGGGGAGGAGGCAGCCGGGTTTATGGGCCTGGAGTTCAGGGCAGAGGGCCGGGTTAGAGATACAAATGTGGGAGGCATCAGCTGGCCGGGACATTCTTTCCCCAGCTACTTCATACCTGGCAAAGGCCCCGCTCCTCCTGGGAGTGAGATGCTCGCTCCCCTGGGTCTCCTGCCCACCTGCCAGCTCTCCCTGCAGAGACCAAGGCGGTGGGCAGGGCGCGGGCCTCTGCCACCGCCAGCCGGGCTCCCGGGCTGGCAACTGTCCCTGTGTTTGGGCCCCGAACAGAACACCCTACGATAAGATCCCCCCGGCCCACTCAGGCCTGCCCACCCACACCGGCCAAGCGTCACCGAAGGAATGTGGTGGCAGCTGGGCCCCGAGTCACAAGACAGAAACACCCAGGACACGTATGTCAGGCTGGGAAGTGTCTCATGAAAGGGAGAAGCCCAAACAGGCCACGGGGTGTGGGGGGGGGGGGGTGGGGGTGGGGGAGGGGCGGGCTCCGCGGAAACCGGCGCGGGTGACTCACCCTGCACTTCTCTTGGACGCGGCGTGCGTGTTGTCAGAAAAAAAAAACAAATTCCTCAAGCAGGTTTATCTCTCTGTGGAGGAGGAGTGATCAGCAGCATGAAGCGGCAGAGGAGGGAGGCCATGTGCCAGGGTCAGCTGGGCAGAGCAGACGGTGGCCCAGGAGCGCCAGCTCCCCGGGGTGCAGGCCTGTGGGGGCCCATGCAGGGAGGGGAGAGACAGACCCCCCAGGCGAGCCAGATCAGCCCCAGCCCGCGTTGTCCTGGGGTTGGGGGCCACAGGGGCGGTGGAGCTCCTGCAGAAATGGTGAGGGGCGGAGGGAAGACGAGTTAAAGAAGACACAGGCATGGAGTTCCCCAGGCACTGTGTGAGCATCTCTGTGGCGACGCGACCTTCCAGTGGGAAGCCCGTTGGGCTCATCGGCGCCGGGGGGCACGTCACGCTTGGGTGTGCACAAGGCTCCTGCATCCGGCAGCGCACATTCCGGCCGCCCCCGGGGGTGCCTGGGGGCGGGGTCCCCATTCTCCGTCGATATGGAGGTAGTTGTGTGACGAGAGATGGGTCCCCATTCTCAGCAGGTGCGTTGGGGAGAACCTTGTGTGACACTTAAGAAAAAGGGACCAGATAGGGAGGTCACACCTTCACAATGGCCCCTCTTTCTCTTTCAACCACTGCAGTGGTTGTCACCAGCAGCAGCCGCCCCTGGGAGCTTAGAGATAATTCTTGGGCCCTCCCCAGGCCAGACCTCGAGGTGGGGGCTCTGGTGTCTGAGCATCTGAAGGGGAAAGGTAGGTCTCAGCCTCAGAATCCTGCCGATGCCTGGGGTCCCACCCCCAGAGATTCAGGTTCCACTGGGCCCCAGGGTCTGCAGCTGCTTCCCAGGTCGCAGGTCTTGCCCTCGCCCCTGAGGAGAGGCCCTTGGGCTTTGGGAATCATGCCTGTGCTGTGGGGAACCCGCAGTGCAGATCCCTGGGCGCCTCCCCCAGAGACCCCAATTCAGCAGATCTGGAGGGGGACCTGGGAAGGGGCTTGGTGAGCAGCGACCCTGGGAATCTGGATGTGGGGTCAGGGAACCCCACTTTGAGAACCACAGCTCAGGAGCCCCTGGCTCTTGTTGTGTCCCCACCATTCACCATCCACAGGGCCCCCTAGCAAGACAGTTCATTCATTGTTGTCTCATAGGTGGCTTGGGAGGAGCAGGGCCGGCCTGAGGCCACGCAGGGGTGGTCAAGAGTGGCCCTTATGAATGGCAGGACACAGGCAAGAAATTGCTAGGTTGTCCTGCTGTCTGCCCAACCGATGAGCATGAGTAGAAGTCCTCGGAATGCCTGGAAGGGGGAAGAGAGCCATGGTGGGAAGGCCAGACGCACAGTGGGCGGGAGTCATCCATCACTCCGGGACGCGCTGGGGAGGGGCTGTGGGTCTGAGCCAGGCTGTGGGTGTGTGTGTGGAAGGGATGGGGGCTGGTCCCGAGGTCCTAGAAGCCAGATCTAAATAAGACCCAGAGCCCTCAAGGTTGAGAGAGTCCTCGGGGGGGGCCTCTTTTATGACGGGCTCCATGGCCACTGGGACTCAGGACCCTGCTCAGCTGTCCCTGCCTGTAGCTGACCACAGCTACTTCTCCCGGTGGCAGTTTCATTTCCCCACTGAGCCAGGATAGACACAGATGGGGCCGGGGGAGCTGTGCGAGGGGCACCAGGGACCCAGGGTCCTTTGGGCCCCGGGCTCTGCCATTCTCAGCATCGCCAGACAGACAGACCGCCACCCCTGGCTGGACCTCACTTCTGCATTCAGGCAGGAAGAGCAGGAAGCAGCCAGGAGACAGGGCGGTGACCGTGTCTGGAACCAGCCCTTCCCCTGGTGCCGGCACACTGCCACGTGCGACTCATTGGTGCACCCGATCACATGAGGTCCCGGCTGCCGGGGATGCTGGGAAGTGGGGCGGCCTGGAACAACACCCAGGTGGGGAGGCGGAGGGTGGGGGTGGGGCCAGCTCCCAGACTGGACGTGCTGGGCTCCAGTACCTGCCGGCTCCACCTCTCCGTGGCCGCTCTGCAGTGGGGTCGCTCAGACCACCGTGGGGCACTACAGATCAAAACGGGGTCTCCTGTTCCTCGAGGCCCCCTAAAGCCCAGGGCGTCCCCCCCTAAGATACTGTGCCACCAGGAAAGTGACACTGACTGGGAACAGCTCCCTTGATGTCCCCTGGCCGCCCGTTTCCAGAACCCAGTGCGGACCTGACTGTGGGAACAGCGGGAGGGTTAGAAGTCTGGTAGAAGGGCCAGGCGCTGAACCCTGACCTGCTTTCTCCCTCCCCCATTTTCCTCCTAATCACACAGTTCAAGGTCACACCTCGCTCCCTGCTCAGCTTGGCCTCTCTGATTTGCACTCGGGCCCTCCTCACGTCTGCTGCTTCCAGCGGACGAGGGTGTCCCCCTCCCAGCAGTTCCTGGACCCTCTGGGTGGGGGTCTCTGCACGGGGGCCCCAGGCCCCACACTCGGCGATGGCAGGGCCCCCTGCGTGTCCCGGGCTGTGTCGGTGTCTGACCTTGGCCGCCTGCAGGCCTTTCTCAGTCAGCACTTCTCTACCTGTCCGGGGGAGATAATAACGTTACCTCGACTCAGGCGGGGGGCGGGAGGGAAGGCGGACAAAGGACCCAGCGCTTGGCCAACCTAAACAGCCCTGGAAATGCTTCGTAATCAAAATGCTTTTTTCCCCCTTTTGAAAGCAGAAATGGAGGGAGAGTGTGAAGGACCGAGCGAGGGCGGCAAGGTCGCAGCTCTGGTGGGCGGGGGAGAGGGAGATAAGAGGAGGGAATGCAGGGCCTGCACCGAAAGCCCCCGGGAGGGGGCTGGGCGCAGCCCCCCTGGAGGCCGTGAGTACATCTGAGGGAACCTGGTGGCTGAGGGTGTGTGGTCAGGTCCCTGTGTCACTGAATGATTTGCAGGGGGTCTCCCGCAGGTCACTGCTCAGTGGCCCCAGCCGCACAGGGGGGTTTGAAGGGAGGGACCATGGGTGTGACTCCACCCCACTGATTGTGAGGTGAGGAGGGCAGAGAGCACCCATAACATCTGAGCAGGGAATCTGGGTCACTTCCCCCTAGGGGTGCCATGGGGCCCGTCCCAGGGACCCCAGCTTCACCACGGCAGCACAGTGGGTCCAAATGACCCTCGGCAAACAGACCGAGCCTTCTGAGGGACGACCCCATCTTCTCCTTCAGCACGGCCTCACCTGGCGAGCACCTGTCTCCCC